TTAATGTTTGAAGCTCTGTTTTGTCTGCTTTCTTATCTAACATTGTTGGTAGTTCATATGCTTCAAAGTTTCTGGCATGATCTTCGATATTCCTGCAACTGTTATCTAAATTGTTTAGTGTATCTTTTACGCTTGTACTTGGATTCTCTAAAGGTGCACTTGAACCAAGGTATAGTTCAATATTATGTCGTCTGCTCTAACAGTAGTGAAGGACTTATGTGTATGGTTCTTGTCGGCTTTCTTATCATATAAATCTTGAGCAGTGAATTTAACATTATTTTCATCATCCATGACATAAACATTTTTACAGCTAATTTCTTTCTTCGTTGTTATGTTTTCATTCGATGTTAAACCTTGTGGAAAGTTAGGAGGTTTATAATATAATGCATCCCCACCAGTTCTGCCAACCGTTCCTTCAATACTTTCTATAGCAACAGTTGAGAAGGAGTTATGTGTATGTTCTTTATCTGCTTTTTTATCTAACATTGCTGGTAGTTCATGTGTTTCAAAGTTTCTGACATGACCTTCGATATTCATACATTTGTTATTTAAGGAGTTTAGTGTATCTTTTACGCTTGTACTTGGATTCTCTAAAGGTGCACTTGAACCAAGGGTATAGTTCAATATTATGTCGTCTGCTCTCACAGTAGTGAAGGATTTATGTGTATGTTCTTTATCTGCTTTTTTATCTAACGTAGCCTGAAGTTCATTTATATCGGAGATATTGTGTTTATGAGATTTCAAAACTTTGTTCGTTGCGTCAAGTTCTTCTTTCTCTGCTTTACTTTTAATAGCATCTTCAAAAGTTATTTTTGCCTTAACTCTCAATGTAAATCTTGGTTCAACTAATACACCGTTAACAAAGAAGTATGAAGCATAAATTTCATTGTTATAACCAAATGTTTCTGGTGCTTTACCTGTGTCATACTGTACAGTACAGTGTATGTCATAACCTTTAGCACGAATGAATTTATATCTTCTTTCATTAACATCTTTCGTCTTCACTTCTTCATCCTGTGTTAAATATCCATGGTAGTCCGTTATAATCTGTTCGTCTGAACTTATATAATGAACATGGTTTTATCTGCTTTTTCGGCTAATTTCTCTTCTATCTCATTTATTTCAAGTTCATGCCTACCACCACCTCCTTCAGAAGTATTTTTCTTCAGCTCTTGAAGAACGTCCACTTCGCCATCTTGGTGTCAATAATGAGACTTTGTGTTAAAACCTTTCCTGTCTTAATGGATGTTTGTAAAACTTCTTCTTCACCGTGTTGGGGGTCATGGTCGTCATCATATCTTGTGAAATCAGAGATGTTGTCATACATTAAGCATATCTGTCTCAAAAGTTCTGCTATTTGAAACTGGAACGAAAGATATACAGAACTTTCATCATCTCCTAAGTCAAGTCTGCTTTCTTAAGTTTTCTTGAATGTATGCAATGAGAACAGAGTACCTTGGAAAATATCGAACAATATTTCATTAGCTGTTGGTTTTGGTGGTTCTTCTGGAGTTTCTGTTGTTTCAGTTCCTTCTGTAGGTTCTGTTGGAGTTTCTGCATCTCTTGACTTCAATGATCTTGCTCTCAAAGACCTAAATGTTAGAGCACCAGGTTTTACACAAGGACTTTATAAATGCTTTAATAGTTCCTGGTAAGTTATTGTTAGCATTAAGTAAGTTCCTTATGCTTCCATCATGTACGTCCATAGCACTATGTAAAAAATCTATACTTTTCTTGTAGTCAGCAATAGACTGACTGTGATTTTTTAAAGATTTGTCAATACCTTTAAGCCAATCTTCATGCAATGTCTGATACTGAGCCAGAATATCATTTGCTTCCTTTAGTGTATTTTGTGCTTCTCGTAAAGTATCCAATCCCGTACGTGCATTGTTTGCTATACGTCTTACAGTATCTATTTGACTCCTTGTTTCTTGCATCCAACCAGAATAAAGTTTTAATAGTATCCGAACCATTTGAAATGAAGTTCAAAGCATTTTTAACGTCATCTAAAACTTCTTCACCAAGTACTGCCCATATCTTTCCGATTTGGTATTGAAGAACTCCATATGAACAGCTGTTAAACCAGTATTTATAAGGTTCCATATTCATGATTTAGCAGTTTTTCCATCCTTTCCATCCTTTCCATCCAAACCGTTTTCGCCTTGAGGTCCTTGAATTCCTTGTATTCCTTGTGGTCCTTGAGGTCCAGTGTCACCCTTCTCTCCTTTCAGTTCATCTTTATGTTCGTTATAATATTCTAATGTCATAAGGTGTACATCATTACTGCTACCAGCAACGCCGAGAATTTGTTTCTCATTCATGACTAAATTCTTTAGGCATTTAATGTTGTCGTCAAATCGAAAGCTCTTTAACAATTCAATGAGAACATTTAATACTTTCACTAATGAGGCATCTACTGTAGAATTTATATATTGCACCGTTCCATCATTTATGATAGGAACTTTACTTATTGTAATGAATGGGTCATAAGTGTTAAAAGTATCGAAATCAATGACTTTTTTTAGTTTTTCCATCGTCAATGACTAAATCATTGCCTTCAATGGTTAAAGTTGAGTTTTCGTTTACTAGTTCATGTGCTCTTCTTGCTTCATTTGTTTCATACGCATATGCAGCAATAGTCATATTTTAATGAGAATAAAATGTTGTTCTATTTGCAAAGTACAGACCCAAACGAATATGGAACAGTAAAGCTTCAAACAAACTTAGGTCTTCAGAATGAAGCACTTGCTTTCAGAGTTGTTGACTTCAATACTATCGCAACTTTTGTCATAACAGATGAAACAGGTTTCATAGAGATTGAAATAGATGACAAAAGAAGTTTTATAACATTTCCTAACAGAGCAGAGTATAGAATAGATAAAATTGCTGGAGTCATAGATACTCTCATAAATGAAGAAACTATTGACAACATAGATGTCGAACTCTCTTCTGAGGGAACATTGAAGTTCAGTAGCAAGAAAGAGTTCAAGATAACACGAATGAGTCATAGAGTTCAACTTCTTTTAGGAGCATACCATATGCAACTACCTTTGAAAAGTGTTGACAAAACGATTGAGATGAAATCTGTTTCCATACGTATGTTATGGCAATTGTTTATACATTGAGTCTAAAATAAGCTAATGTCACAGGCATTTCAGGAGTTAATAGTAAAGGTTCAGTAGAGTATAAATCTTTCTGTTATGAAGTAAATTCAATGTTCATTCCAAACGTTCCTGTCATAGCAACTCATTTAGGTAAATGGGTTCGCATTTAGTCCTCATAATTTGAAAGACATGCAATTCAGACTAGTTGACTTTCAAGGCGAGCCTGTAGAACTGAAGGCACCAGTGCGAATGACTGTTGAAGTTGACTTTTAGAAAATATTAAATGCAACAGCTTACAAGAGAACTCAGAGCTAAAAATATATAAAGTATGAAATGTTATGTATTAGGTCATGAACTTTGGTTGTTGCTGTTTGATGAAACAAATGAGTTAGTTATGTCAGTCAAGAGAACAGAAAAATATTGTGTTAGTGAAAACAGCACCAAGTCAATAAGATTAGGTTTGCATTATGAAGATGAGTTCGATACTGTTGAAGAAGTTTTGGACAGATATTACAAATTGCCAACTTGAAATTTTTTGACTGACGGCGCAAAGCGCCAAGACCGAGGGTCCTGACTGCTTTAATTTACTAAAACATATTTCAAACAAAGCTTATAGTCAGTAGATAGTTTTGTATACTCGTTCGAATATTTATACTTAAACTCAACTCCTGTAGTTCCTGGTGTTTCAATGATGCGGATGTTACCTATTTTCATGAATAGTGGAGTTTGACCACAGCATTCGATTTCAGGGTCGAGATAGTCAATGACACATTGTTTTCCTGTTATTCGTGAGATAACATTTTCAAGGTCCTCCTTTGTTAGAATTATTTGGTTCTTGCTTATAAGATTTGTCAAAAGCTTCTTATCGTCTTTGAGTAAAATTGTTTGGTATAACTGAAGAAGGTAATGGTCTACGTTATCTGAAGGATTTGTTTGAACATTTGTGTAAGGGTTGTCGTTGGCTTCTCTTGAAAGAATTTGGTCCAGTGGTGGATACTCTAACTTAACATCTGATGTAGCGTTAGCGTTTGAAGCTGAGTTTAAATTCACGGATTTCAGCTCTGGTTCTGGTTCTTTCAAACACTCTGAACTATAGTTCTTTATGACAATATTGTTTGTCGTTCGTGAGTCAACATTTGATGTTGGTTCAATTGGAACATTAACGGCACCAGCTAAGATGGATTTGCTTCTCATTTCATATAGAATAAAAACCTTTTATATGTATGAAATGAACAATATACTCGACAAGGGTTTGAATGTAAAGCTAACGAATGAAAATATTGTTGAATTCACTGAGACAGGTGCTGTGTATAAAGATGTAGAACTACTGAACAAAAGAGCTAAGGGAAGAAGCAGGAACATGAACAAAGGGTGGAAGCCTATAAAAATTTATGTCAATGATGGCTCAGGAGGTTCAAACATAAAGTATGCAGAAAGTTATAGAGTTTATGCTCTCAAAGGTGAAAAGCCTTCATTTAAGAACAGCTATTCTAACGCATATCCTCAAAAGCTAACGGATGGAGAAGTGGATGATATGAATGACAGCAAAAATATTAACAGAAATGGCGACAGAGATGCATGGAATTTGTTTACCATCAGTCAATTGAAGGTTAAACTTTAAAACAATGTTGGTCGTTCCCATGGAATATTTTTGACTTTAATGGTATTAGTCATGATATGAATCTCAAGGTATGAACGAGGAGAGATGAGAGACTTATATGCTTCCCAAATTTCTTCAAAAGGTAATGTTATACCTGACTGTTTCCAAATGAGTTCAATATCATAGCGTGAGAAACCTTGAAAGATAACGAAGTCAGTTATGAGACGTTTTATGTTTAAAGCTAAAAACCTCCATGTTTGCATAAGTATTGCTACAGTTAAGTGGTAATGTCTGACTTTAGTAATGATGTTAGCTAATGGTGAGTCAGGCTTTGACACTAAACCTTTTCCGGCGAAGTCGTCGCAAACGAGCAGAGTGTTTGAAGGATACTTTTTGAAGGGGTATTTTGAAAGTTTTGACAGAATGTAGTTTGTAAGTCGTTTCATATCGTAAACTCCTGAGTATTGACGTAAGTGGTGTTTGTCAATAATTCTTTCCATCTCTTCTGAAGTCTTTTGCATTCCTGACTGTATAAATTCAACGATGGCATAATATTTCCTCTTACGTCGAATGTAACGTTGAAGAAATTCAATGAGTTCACTGTCTGGAACTTTAACGACAGAGGCTTGAACTTTTGACATAAATGTTTTCGCTGTTGAGTCCATAGAGTCTGAAGTTGCTGATATAATGATTTGGTCATAATATGAGTCATTTCCTAAACGTTCTGTTATGAGTATATGACGAATGAGGTTAAATGTCTTACCTGAACCCATCTTTCCACAATAGAAATAAACACCATTTGAACAGAACTCATAATCTTTGCTGAAAGGAAGAATAAGAGAAGAGTTAAGTTTGTCTGTAGTTTCATTCATGTCTTCATCTACGTCATGTATTAAATGCTTCATTTTATCTCCATTAAAAATGCAAGTCAGAAATATTCAGAACATAGCACCGAGTCTAACTGACAAGAGTATAAAGATATACTATGAACACGTTATGATGAAACCAACCAAAATTCAAGAAAGTCAGTATACTTATGAATATCCAAGACACTGGGTAGAGTATGTAGGAGGTGAGAAAGCTATTGAAATCAGACAGGTTCGAAGTATTCCAGCAGGAAGAACAATATTATTGAAGAACTTTAATGTTTTGAGGTATAATGATGAAACAAAGAAGCAAGATAGTTTTCCTGTTGCTGTGTATGTGAACTTAGATACAGGAGATGACATGAAAGTTTTTAACACAAAGCTTCAAACGGTAGTGAGAGAACAACTGACTGCGGAAGGACATCCATTACCTTCAGAAGTTACCATAGCATATAATTTTGAAACAAACTCAATAGATTTTAAAGTCATCTCTGCAAAGAAGTCAGGTTTTACATTTAATGAAGCAGATGTATATTCGAATGAAAACTTCAAAGCTATTGCATGGTTAGATAATGACGATTGCTTTAAGAAAATATTTAAATACAGTGACTCAACGATGTCAATAGATGACCTTCGTGGAATGTTACCATCGACGTTTACAGTAGAAGGTTCAGCAGGATTGCTTACAAGATTGTCAATTGGTGGTATTTGGTCTCGTGAGAACATTGTTATAAAATCCAGTATAAGTGAATTTGCTGAAGAATCTATATTATGTCTTTCAAACTACATGTATTCGCCGCCGAAGCATTATAGTATAACAAACTTTGTCAGTAAGTTTAACATAAGACTTGTCGAACCTTCTTCAATGAAAGATGTTGTGCTACCAAAGACGGAAAGGATGGACTCATTATTGAGATGATTTTAATAGCATATTAAATGAGCTTGTTCTTGAAGGTCATTCATGATGAAATAACTGTTGTAGAAGATGTTAGCAATTGTTCAGACATTTTGAAGCGTATAGATGAGATATAAGAAAGAAGTTAGATAGACCGCAAAGCGGTGAGGGCGAAGCCCGTGAGAACGTTTATGTTTCATTGACTTTCTCCAGTAACGAGAACTTTTATGAGATAATATTGAAGAGAGATGATTTTAATATGGTGTAAATGGTAGCTTGGGCAGCTTTAGGCGCAATGGGAACAAAAGCATTAGCATTTGGAGCAAAAGCACTTGGAGCTTATGACGCAGTAAATAAAATGAGTGGAGGAAGGGTTTCGAAGACATTAGATGCAAATAAAGGGAAGATTGGAGGCTGGGTTGCAAAGAAGTTAAGATTAAATAAAATAGGGCTCATAAATAAAGCATCCAATTTGGTTGCGACTGAGTCAGAAAATGCTTTAGGAAAGGACGATGAGTTTGCAAAACACGCAAAAGACTTTAATGACCAGATGAAAGGTGAAACAATGCATTTAAATAGATTCGATGGAACTAAAGAAAATGTTTCTTCTCCACCAGTAGTTCTTCCGTATGGTCCCTATGGAATGTATGGAAACCCTTACGAAAGACCATTTGACCCATTGACTGGTGGAAGTAACTGGTATCATTACGGCCGAAGAAGAAAGACAGTCAAGTTGGAGACAGACGTGAAGAAAGCAACTAAAAAGAAACCAAGGAAGAGAGTTATAAAGCAATGAATTCAACAGGGTGAAAAAAGAGGTGAGATCTCACCACTTCACCTAAATTTATTTTTGTGCTATGTTTTCATACGTGTGAGGGTGGTGATATCATTATTTTTTATTTTATTTTTTTATTTTATTTTTATATAAATGACGAAAACTATTGAGATAACAAACTACAACGGTCATGAGTTCAAGAATTTGTTCTTCGTTCCTCGTGAAAATACATTCTATCAGATACGAGGGAGAAAGGGTAAAGTTAGTTTGAGCGTTTATGACTACAAGCATAATGGAAAGTTTATACAAGCATATGATACAAACGGTAAGCGTGTTTCATTAGCTTTGTCAAAACTTACTAACATTTATTTTGACAGTGACTTTGACCTATATGAAGAAGAAAGTGAGTCAGAAGATTATGAGCTGTTATGTGAAGCACAGCAATGGGAGGAGTTGCAATACTTTTGTAAGTGAGAACGTTTATTTTTTACATTAGTGAGGTGAAGTGGTTGGCGGTTTTGTAAATATTTAAGGTTAAGTTAGTGTTGTCGTTTGTGTTGTAAAATATACGTTAACGGTTTTGTAAAGTGTCAAATTCACAAGTATTGGGTAAGGAGGCGCGCAGTGTCTCCGTACCCATGACTTGTATACTAACTCCAGTATGCCACCAATGAGAAAATAAGAAGACTTGACCCTAACGTTCCAGGAGTTTATGTTAACCTTTCTGGACAAACTGCAGCAGCAGTAACCAAAGTAAAACTGAAACTTAGAGTTCCTTTGTCATCTTTCCTCATCTTTAGGTTCTTAAGATACTTACCAAACTGGGCAGGAAAAATTTCTATTGAACTTACTCCAAGCAAAAATAACTTAGTCATTGCACCAACACAAGACCCATTCACTCTTACAGATACAGCTGGTGGAGCTGCCAGCATACCATTTGGAAAATGGTGCAAAGAGAAAGTTGACTTAGACTTTGGTTTCTCAAACCTCAACACTGAAGTAAACTACTACTTCTCAGGAACAGCAGACAACAATACTGCTTGGGACACAGTTAAGTTCACATGCGAACAGTTTGAATGCAAGAGAATAGAAAGCAGACTTGCAGTCTATATGTTGGACCCAGATATTTCAAATGCTTTAGCTGCCAAATATATTGCAGTTCCACTTATGTTCCCTATACACCAAATATCTGTCAAAGACTTTGCAGGTGAAGTTGGAAACCAAAATCCAGGAGCCGCAGGTGCAAGAACAGATATTGCTTTAACAACTGCAATGAAACATGCAGATACTATGTTTGTACTGTTCAGACGAACTATAAATGACTATTCTTGTTTCTACAACCCTGGTATTAAATATCATATAAACATAGATGGCAAATATTATCCAAGAGAAGAATATTCTACAGTTGAGGATATGAGGTCATACAACTTGACATTAGATGCTATGAACTTTAACAACAACTTCACAACAACTATTAACCCTGAAATGCAAAGTTCTATTATGCCATATGTGAAAGTATGGACTCATACAGGAGGTCAAAAAAACTCAATATACAAATGGAGACCGTTCAAACTTTTGGCTTGGCATTCCATTTGCTGACTCAGAAGACTTTATGGGTGGTATTTCAACTGTTGGTACAGTTCAAATACAATATACTGGTGACAGAGACGGTCCAGATGAATTGAGAGCAAAGAAGTTTACAAAACCAATAGCACTTTCACGGAAGATGCTCTTTTGAAGATTCGTTCGATGAAACCTGCTGGGGCTCCTCAGATTGGTATAACGACAGCTTCCATCGAGCAGATTTTGGCAGCAGGTCAGTAAGTTGTTCTTGAACTGACTTCTCTCCGTCAAATATTGACAGTACGCCAGTTTTGACATAATATTGTATTATAAACTTTCCTTTAGTAATATCGGTCAGTTTTGAAGTTATATTTTTGTCTGCTTCAAGAACTTTCACCATTTCAGTTATATCAACTTTCTTTGCTTTATGAAAATATTTTGGTTCAGCAAATATTGCTATTCTATAACATTTTCCATTGTTTTGTGTAAAGAACTATTCTGTCAATGTATTTGTATTGTTTGTGAGTATAAACTTTGTTCTGCTTCAATTCAATAAGATATCCGAATACGTCCATCTTTTTATTCTAAGTAAAATGTCATTTCCGAAAAATAGAAGCGTAAGTGTTTCAAAAGGTTTAATGGCGGTGGCAGATGTGAAGTTAAATTCACCAACTCAAACAAACAGTCAAAGTGTTATTGTCAATGTCAAAGACAGAGATGTTGAAGTGGGGAAACCATACGAAGACGAAGATGGTATAACAATTGTTCCTGTAAAAGAACCAACATATCCTGAAGTTAACAGAGACTTAAGTTCTGTTGCAGATATTCGAAACGACTACCAACAACTGAAAGACAAACTTCAAACTCAGGAGAAGATTTGTCAAGCTTTAAGTATTAATGTTAAACTTGGTCGAACACAACCCTGTAAAAGTGAACTCATATGTCATTGCACCTCATGAAGTTTTGAAAGAACTATTGAAACTTTTGACAGAGGCAGACGATATAAACATCAAAGAAATAGAACCCGACATTGGTTGCTGTGGTGTTTCATATAATGTCATTGACAAGATATACGTTATGAAAGAGGTGAAACGTTGAACTTAAAATATAGTTTCCCAGACGTTATAAAAATATTTGACGACCACAACATTTCATTAAAATTTATTTGCTAAGTAAATGGCAGAAGACATAATGGTTTATACTATTACGACTAAAAACCTGAGTCATATAATTCTATAACAACAAACTTACAAAGTCCTCAAGGACGATATTGTAAACTAACCTTAAAACACAATGACGACTAAAGCCTGTTTTGCTCTTTTGACACCAGAAGACTTTATTGTTGTGAATGGTAAAAAATACTCTTTTGAAGATACTTACTCAGATATACCACCAACAGGTTTTGTTGACTTATTTAATACTTTAAGTACGGTGTAACATGTGCTGCAACTAGAGCAGGTTTCATTATGTTTGGATGTCCGACTGAGTTTACTATAAACGATATGAGCTATAATACAAAAACTTATTTTCTGGTTTTTACTACCAACAGTTTCCTATAACAGGAAAGATGTCATACAAGGAATGTCTATTCCATTGACATTAAGCACACCAATCTTATATATTGTTTCAAACTTAGGTTCAAAGTGTTATTCGAATGTCGACAGAAACTATTATGACCAAAAGATACTTATGGTATAAACAATACTTTCTCTGCTGGTTTGCCTATTGTTCATTCGAATGCAGAATTTTCAACCTTAGTGAACTCAAACACTTTGGCAAGTATAACGTTGACATTAGTTTACGCAAACTTTGTTCCTGTAAAACTTTTATGTCCTATGTATTTGTCAATGACGGCAGAAAGTTTCGAATTGGAAGATGCAACTGGTGAAAGTATTGTATTACAAGAACAACTTCAACAACAAATAGCTCAAGAACAACAAATGCAACAAATGGAACAACAAAGTCCAGAGAATAAAAAAATAAATTTTTTTTATTTTTTATTTAAAAAATGTACAGAATAGATGTTTCAGATTTTTATGACTTCCAAGCATTCAGAAATATGTGTCCATTTAGAGACTATAACAAAGCAGTCGAGAATTTGAAACGTTTAGTCATTTATGTTGACTCTGCCCCAGAATGTTATGTCATGAAAGAATGGGATGTTTTCTTTAACAAACCAAGAGCAACAATAGTTTCAGAACAAGAATGTAGACAGAAACTTAAGAAAATAAAAGTCGTACAAGTTGGCATGAAGATGTTAGATGCTTGGGATATCTTATTGTCAAACTTGAAGATTTTTCAGTTCGTGGTATAAAGTTTTATACACCTTCTCCAAACTTCTATTCTATTCTTCACTGGATATAAATATGAACAAGTTAGAATGGAAAGAAAATATTATAGAAGCTTGGTTAGACCATGTCAAAGAAATTATATGCAATGGAAACGAAAGAGTCTATGAGTATATCTTATGTTGGTTTGCAAATATCTTACAAACATCCAAATGCTAAAATGAAACTGCTCTCATTATAATTGGAAAACAAGGAACTGGTAAGAATACTTTCTTTACAGATATTTTGTGCAAAACTGTTAGAAGGTTATTCGAATCCGAATATGACAAACTTAGAAAACATCTGTGGCAAGTTTAACTCCTCAATAGAGAATATGAAACTTATAGTTTGCAATGAACTTCAAAGTATAGATACAACAAAAGTTTTGAACTCAGATGCTTTGAAGAGTCTCTATAACAGACAAAGTTGGAGTTGTTGAAAGAAAGTATAAAGACCAAAGAGTTTGTGAAAATGTTGCAAACTTCATTATGGTTTCAAACAATGCTGTTCCGATGAAGTTAGAAAGTTCTGACAGAAGATATGTAGTTGTCAGAACGTCAGATTCTCATATGCAAGATACAGAATATTTTGACGACTTAGCAGAAACTTTGACATCTGACTTTTACAACCACTTGTTCTCATATTTCATGACATTAGATATTTCTAAGTTCAATCCAAGACAAATTCCACATACCGAAGAGAGACAAACACTGTTAGAAGCAAACAAGAGTGTATATGAACTGTTCATAGAAGAAAGCGACTTTGAGTGTTTAGATGAAAAGTCATTGTACGATTCGTATAAACAATATTGTCAAGAGTATGGTTATATGCCAGCGTCTAAACGAACATTCTTGGCAAATGTCAAAAGTCTTTTAGACGTACAGAATGGTGTATATACAAAGAAAAATTTTTCTGAGTAAATTTAAAAAAAAATATTTTTTATCCGATAGAAAAGATGACGAAATATATTTCAGTAAACAAGTACATGTCAGGACTTAAAGAAGAACTAGACCCATTCACATATTTGAATGTTTACTTCTACCATTTTGAAAAGTCTTCATTTAGCAAAGTTTGGAACATCGAACCAGTTAAGTTTGCTATTGTGACTAAAAATGGTGCGAAATTTGAAGACTTAGACATAGAAGGTTTGTTAACAGTCAAAGAAAGTTTTGACAGAAGGTTCTCAAACCTTAAAGAAGGCAAAGCATACAAACTTGTTATACCTTATGAACCAAAGAAGACAGACGACTATGAATATTATGAGTCTAAAGTTGTAGAAGTTCAAGGTAAATTGGGTAAAAAGCTATTAGAGTCTAAGCCAGTGTTTACTCCTAAAGAGGAAGAGAACATTGACATTGACCCAGAAATGTTCTAAAAATAAAATTTTATTTTTACATGTCAAATTTCTTTTTCTCTGGAACTGGTTCAGGTTCTTTCTTCTCTTCTACTTTTTTCTCTTTCTTTTCTTTCTTCTTCTTCTCTGGTGGAGATATGTCAAATTTCTCAGAACCATATCTATGTAAAAGTTCTTTGTCCTTTAATAGCTCATCTATTCTGTTTTCTATTTCATCTTCAAGAACAGCGCATGTGTCTTCTTTGCATTCTAAGAACTTTTGTTGGACTTCATCTTTCCAATCGGCGTCATCTCTGTCAACAAGTCTGTCATTGACAAATTTTAAGACTGCTCTTTGTAATGTTTTATGGTTCTTGTCATATTCCCAGAAACAGAACTTTAGAACAAATTCACCTTTCTTGTTTACACTATGTAAGATTTTATGGTCGACAGATGTTTTGCTGTCAAAAAGTTTGTCTCGAATATAGATAGCGAAATCGCTAGACATTTTCTAAAAGATAAAAATTTTAATTTTTCTAAAAATATGTTAGAAAAAAAGTTTGCTGACATTGACAAGAAATTTGAGAATGTTTTAAACAAGAACAAGAGGAAGTTAGAAAATGCTCAGATAAAGCCTATACATGACAAGTTCTTATTTGCTCAGAATGGTATAACAGGTCTAATTGCACCACCTGGGTCGGTAAGACTTTCACTTATCTTAAAATGGCTGCACAACAACAAGAACTAGATGAGAAGAACCCATTCTATGAGTTAGTTGTTATTTGTTCGACTTCTGGTCAATTTGACCAAACCGTCAATTCGTTCAAAGATATTATAAAGAAGTCTAAGTTAGTATGTATAAAGGATACTGAGTTGTTAGATTGGATAAAGAAGTACCAAAGAAGAGTTTTGAAGTATAATGCTATAAATGAGTATATAAATTCTAAGTTTAAAGACCTAATGAGGAAATGCAGAGAATATTAGAAAAAACACTTCAGAAACAAACAGAAAGAGATAGAATACATTTCGAAGAAATTGCAATCTTACGATTGGAAGACTTACCCTCATAGATGTCTTCTTATCTTAGATGATTTCGCCTCTCATCCTTTGTTAAAGAACAGAGAACAAGATATGTGTCGAATTCTTAAGAAGCTCAGACACTTTAACATCTCAGTTGTCATTTGTGTACAGACAGCAAAGAGTTTAAGTAAGGATGTTAAAAGAATACTTACTGACATAATACTTTTCCCCGGATTGTCCGAAGACGATTTCATGGAACTTATGAAAGAGTCCATGGCAGGTAAGTTTGACAGACATGAACTATGGGAGAAGTACAAAGTCATACAAGACCCTCATACTTCTTTCAGAATTCATATCTACGCAAACAAAGTTCAAATTGTAAAAAGTCAAGCTTGAAAAATCTAAGTGTTTAGTCTTAGTAAGATGGTAGCTTCTTAAAGCAAATACCATTGCTGAGTTTTATGTACGTGAAGAGAAGTACAATGAATTCAATTACGAGTACAATTGCAATGACAACTAAGGCAACTATTTTTGTCTTTTGCCAGCAAGGTACTTCTTCTCTTCCAATGGTTCGGCAGAACTATACTCACTCATGAGAAATGCCAAAACGGTTTAATAGAAAAAGTGTCATTTTTTTCATGTCCGAAGACTCGAAGGTGCAACACTTCCAAAATACCGACGAACTCAGAAGAGCAGCATGGCAGTATGTTCTTGACAACTTCTTTGAGTTCTCCAGGTACACCTTGGAAAATGCTGAAGAACTCCGACACAGAGAATTTGGAGAAATTGCACTCCAATACTACCTTGACAAACAAAGGGTAAATTAAGACTAAAAACTTAACGTTTAAAAAGTGACATTTTTATGAGCTCCGAGTCACCGAGAAAACTTGGTCAGATGTTAGCAGCTTACTTCCCTGAGGAGGATGGAAGCGTTACATACATCAGGTTCAAAAACAACGAACCTGGAATTGCGTACCAAATTCGCAATTACATGACCATGGAAGAGTACGAAAGGTTTCTACAAGAGAAACCAGCTCTAAACAACTCAGAAAAGAAAGAGTAAAAAGTTTAATTCGTAATTGTTTATTTTTTTACTTGTAAGGGCAAGCTGCAAGTATGAAGTCGACTATCTCCGTCTTTGTTTTGACGAGCTGGACGGCTCTTGCGAGTACGTCTGTTTTGCGGTCTCCAGCTGGTGTCTGACCTTCGTAATTGCGCATGTTCTTGAGAGCTCCAACTGTAAATGGTTGTAGGATGAAGAGTCTCTCAGACTGCTTGAGGTAGTCTTCACGGTCACGAACCGAATCTGTGGTACGAGTCGAATCGGTCGATTTGAGGGAAGAGACTGAAAGCCTGTCGTCTTCCATTGGAGCTGTAGCATACTCTTTGCGTAAGCGGTTCAGACCTTCTTCGAAGTCTTGGTCTCTCTTCGATTGAGATTGGAATTGGAATTGCTGGGGTGGAGCTTGCTGGAACAACCAAGGGTTGGGGAAGTAAGGCATAGGCTGAGGAGGGTAGTTCGGGAAGCCTTGTGGTGGGTAGTAACCTTGAGGTGGAAATTGGTAGTAATTCGGAGGTACTTGCTGGAACTGAGGTTGCTGAGGAGACTGTTGTGGTTCTGCAGCTTTCGGTTCTTCTGGCTTTGGAAGGCATTCAGGAAGAGGAACGTCAGTCATCCGTTTGTGTCCTGTCGGAAGGAAAAATTTTTCCTGTCGGATGGAAGAACTTTTTCTGTCGGAAGGAAAAACTTTTTCTGAAGTTCGACCAAAAAGTTCTCAATTTTCGAAAATTTGAATGGTTTACGGACGGACAACTGGAAGAGTTCTTCCTGTCGGAAGGAAAAATTTTTCCCTTTGTCGGGAAAATATTTTCCTGTCGGACGGAAGAACTTGGAATGCAAGAAAGACTTGACGTGGCAATTTACCTCATTGAACTTAACGACTGCGTAAAAGACTACTTGCGCAAGGTAATGAAGCCCAAGGTCAAGTTCATCACTATTTCTGGAAGGTCTACACTTCAGCTCGAGACTTCGACTGGAATTCCAATTCAAATACCAGACGGGACAGCCTACGATGGCATAAAGGACGCCAAAAGAGAAGCTCTTGTTAAGTTCCTAAACAAACGTCCTTGGATAAAAATACCAAACAAGGAGAACCCCCTACCCCATATGAAATTGGCAATTCAGTCTCTCCTTCACTTCTCTGGTCAACCATTCTTTATAACTACAGAAGGCGACATTCAGCCAGTTCAGTAAACATCTCATTTTAACTCACTTTTTTTATGTTTTTACTCACACTCGTACTCACCAGGTATGAGTACAACTATTTCAACTGTGAACCTTGTATTGACCGGTCTTCCTGTAAATGCAAGTTCGGTCAATACACAGTTTATGGTGGCAAGAAGGACAGTGGAGAATGCGCGCTCGAGAGAGAATTGAAATTCCAGACCCAACTCCAACAAGAACTCTCAAGTTACCAGAGACTCGTGTGAAGAAGAAGTCATATAACAAAGCACTTATAGCCATATACATGGCACGTTTAGAGTAAAAACATTTTTTTTCATTTTTTGAATGAAGCAAGTTAAATTCGTCCCACACCAATCTCAATGGACCGATGAAGAGTTTCAAGCCATGGTTGAAGGCGTTGAGAACGACATAGACGGCGAACTTGAAGGAGCTCAAACCACAATTGCAACCAAAATTGCACAAGTCAAGGAACAGATAGCTCCACTTAAAGCTACCAAAGCTACTCTTGACCTCATGGATACTTACCGTTTAGAAGTAAAGAGTGGAATAAGACAATTAAAATTGAAACTTCTAAACTACGAAGCTATACTCCAAAAGTTAGCAGAAATGAGAAGACTTTACCAGAGCTACTTACATGTAAGGGACTTACCTTCAAGCAGTCCGACCAAAGATGAATTTTCTGACATTGTCCCAATTTTGTCCGAAAGTCAGCTCAGATGTTTTGAACTGCTCCCAACATATCCAGAATATGAAAATTTGCCTGAACTCTTTCGGTTCCTCAAAAAACGTTTTTTGGTTCTCATGTTCGAAACTTTTATCGGAAGAGACAACAAACGTTCAGAAGAAGAGCAAGATATTATTTTAAACTTGTTGTATGACTTAACTGTCATAACCAGCTTTTTGAAGTAAAACCGTCATTCTCAAACCACTTCATTTTTTCGATGTCCGAACAAGCACCGAAGCCGAAACAATGGCAGATGTCCTTTCAAGGTTGCCAGACAAGCGCCCAATTCAAATTCAAATTGCCCAATTGAAAGCTCATCTGACAAACACCATTAAGACTCTCCAAAGTAGTCTTATGACAGAGATGACCAATCTCAAAGCCGATGTCCTCATGAACCAAGCTTCCAATGAGAAATGCCTGAACGATTTCGCGGAAACCTTGCGCAATTACGAGAGAGAGAACCGAGACCTTGCCAGACTCATCTACCGTTTCTTCGAAGAGATAGACGCCATCTGGAAGGTACTCGGAAAGGACAGAACATGCAACACCGTACTTCGTGAGTACCAAATTGAAGAAGGAATTGTCGAGGAGAGAAGAGAGAGAAGAAAGAGAAGAAGAGGAAGAGAGAACCTGAAGCCGACATGGGCAACCCTTGTTGCCGATGACGGTTACGAAATTTCCCAACCCTACCCATACCAAATCCGCAACAAGGAGACAGGCAAGGTTCTTACCCCAGTCCTCAACAACTTGGGACACTTGAACCTTAACCTTCGGAATCGCGGTTCAATCTCCATGGGCAAGCTTGTCGCAATTCAATGGGTTCCAAATCCAGACAAGAAGACGAAGGTCAGACACATTGACGGTGACAAGCTCAACAACCGTAAGGAGAACCTCGAGTGGTTCTAAGAGTAAAAAAAATTATTTTAGGGGGAAACCCCAAGTAAATTTAAGTTTTTATTTTTGGTATTCGTACCAATTTTGGAATGTGAAGACCACATCCCAACCTCTGTACGTGAGTCTTGGGTCCACGTCTAAGACCCTTCTGTAGCAATTCCAAGCCCGAGCAAATTCAATTGTCAACCACTCGTCTCCTCTGTAGTCTTCAATCCATTCTTTGAAGAGACGGTCGAGTTCGGGCTTGGAATATCTCTTGCCTGGGTCCGAGACCAACATTTGGTTGAACTGGACGAAGCGCTCAGGGATGTACGCCATTAAAAAAATGTCACTTTTTTAAAAATAAATTTTTTATTTCATGCAATGTTTAACTATTTCACCATCTTCTTTAACACCCCAGTACTTACGCTTGGAGAGGACATGAACTTCGGTGAAAATTTTGTCCAATTTGAATTGACCCATCTTTTCACCGACACCCATTTCAATGAGTTTGTTGTATCCTTCTTCGTTCGTCATGAGTGCGTCAATGTTCTCATAGTAAACCTTGACTTTCGATTTGACTTCGGAGAAGAATTTGTTGTACTCGTCAAGGACTGCTTTGCGAACTGAGGGTAAGACCAATGTTCGACAATAGGTTTTAATGTGGTTACTAAGCCACTTTGACCTTGAGTGAATTCGTACTTCAAAACAAAAGGAGAAAACCTTTCAACAAAGTTGTCGACCTTCTCATAATGTTTACTCTTCATCTCTTGAGGTTTCTTAATGGAATATCCCCATGTCGAATTCATAAGCAATTTGAGTGTCATTGCAAGTTTGGGGTTTGAAGCTTTCCTAATATCATACAGTTGTTGTATGACTTTTCCAACTGTATAGTTCCTTCCCGGGAACTCACCATCTTCGTTTGGAATTCCAGTCGGAATATATTGGACAAACCTCATGTATGCAGCGTTAAGGTCGACATAGTATATCTTTTCATCTGAGTCGAACTTGTCGCAACCAATTGGTCCAGTTTGTGGAAATTCAAGTGAGTCTCTTATCTTCTGAGAAACTTCTCCTGTTATCTCATAAACATCGTCGAAGCAACCTGTTTCATATAAAACCTTCTGACCTAACTCAGATGCTCTCCAATACAATTTGACGTCAATTGGATGTCTCAATGGAAGTTTGTTTATAGCATCTTGAAGTTCTTGCAACCTCATTGGAAGTTCTTCTGGTTCAGGTTGGTATCCGAACATACCAACCCTTGTGGAACTGTGTACTTCTTTTGTACTAGAACTTTGTCTGGAACAACTTTTGGTCTTGCTAACAATGAAAAGTTTGTTTCGTCTTTTGGTACAAAAGTTTCTGTCAGCTTGTCATCTGGAATTGGTTCCAACAAACCTTTCTCGAAAAGAATGTTTACAGCTCTGACAATGTTGCACTTACTTTTACCAAAGAATGGGTTTGTAAGACTTTCGTTCAACATGAAGTGGTTGTGGACAATTACAATCTTCAACCATGGTAAGTCTTTGTCAACAACATAGTCGTCATGTGAAGAACCTTTAGCTGTAGGTATGTTGACTCGGATATTGACATTTGCCAACGGTGCAATTTTTGCCAATTGACCTCTGAGAATGTACCTTGTCTTCACACATGACTCAAGATACTTCATCTTCTCATCTGTAACAAGACCAGAGTTCCTGAGACATGTAAGAATGCAAGGTTCATTGACAATTGTTTCAATTGAATTGTAAATTCCATACCTTGTCAAGTCAATGTCAGACTTATTTATGAACGGGAAGTATCCAGCATGTTGTCTGACTGCTTGAGGGTTAGGTTGGTACCATTCGAACTTGACACTTGCAATTCCTTCAATTGCATTCAAAATGTCTGAGTCGGAGTCAACCATTTGTTCTCTCTTTGTAGTCTTGAAAGCGTCAAGAAGTTTTGCGGCTGTTTGTTCATTGCCATGTGCATAGTAAATGTGACCATCCAAATCTGTTATGGTCAATCTGACATTGTGTCCTTTCTTATTTCCGTCTTGAATTGCAGCAAGTACTCCCATGAAGCCTTCTTTGTTCTTTCCTTCGTCAAAGTTTACTGTAAAGGTTCGACCAGATGTAATTTGACTTCTAACTTCACGATACTTTTCATATGCATATCTTGTTCTTTCCATGGGAGCATGTGCGTCTTCACCTTTTCCTTTTTTCCTTCTCAAAGGATGCAATTGTTCGTCATGTTTCCAGTAGAATCTGGCAAAGCCGTCGTGTCCTTCAACTTGAGGTTCACTAACATCGAAAGGCATGTCCATAAGACGTTCTTCTTCTAACCTCTCTAGCTGTTTGGATAATTGGCACGTGCTGTTTCCAAATCCATTTCGTAGCGAAGACCAGACAATTTGTCATAGACTTTTATGGGTCTTCCCTTCCTATATTTAAAATTCTTCGAAACTCTCCAACCATATCTTTGTAACTCTGCTTTTATTCTAGCAGACTTTCTATCCATTCTATATGGGGGCATTTTTATAAAAATAAAAAAATATTTTTTTCTTTACTTTACATAACCGCCTGCTGCCATAAGTCTTTGACGCCAACCCATACCAGCTAATGAAGGTTGACTTGGTTTAGTTTGGAAACTAAAACTTACTTTGGTTTTGGTTTATCTTCAGTTTTTGGTTTTCTTCTTCTATCGGTTTTTCGTCACTTTTCGGTTCCTCTGACTTTACTTCACTTGCAGGAACAGTTGTGTCGTCAACATCTTCATAAATATCATATGCCATTTGTTTTTGTTTTCCTTTCAACTTTTTGTGTTTGTTGTAAAGTTTAGAATATTTCGACTCTAAGTCAATGAGATGTTCTATAATGAACTGTTGGTCAGTGAAGTAAACTTTTCCATCTGTTGTCTCGAAAGCTCCTTCAGACTTCAATATTTTATTTGTGAGAGTCTGTTTCTTTTTGAGATACTAGCCGTTCCATTTCTATGAAAAGTGACTTTATAGTTAGGGTTTGTATTTCCAGACCTGGCACTTTCTATTATTGAATTTTTCTCTTCATCTGTAAGTTCTTTGACAGGTTTTGACAATGGTTCTGAACTTTTTGTTTGTGGTGTCAAATCTACCGTTTCAACTTCTTCGGTCATTTCATCTCAGTAAAAAATTTTAGTTTGGTTTGTTTTCAACTGGTTGTTGTTGTGGAGGTGGGATGGTTCCTTTAATAATATCATTCAGTTTCACATGCTGAGCCTGACTATATGGTATCGGTTTTAAATGCTGGAAGCCGACAAATCCATCTTGAACTCATTTGTCTCAATGCTGCATTTGTTCATTTCATCTCAATAAAAAACTTTACATTCCCCACGTTTGAGGCGGTTGAGGTTGGTTATTGTTTACCCACTGTTGTGCATGGTTATATCCTCTGTTAAAGAATCTTTCACCTTGGTCCATATAGTGTCCTGCTTGGTTATAGTAGTCATTTGCTTTGTTATAATAGTTTCCTGCTTGTCTTCCTACATTGTCCATCCATCCTTGAACTTTTCCTCTTGTTTCAGGATTTGGAATAAGATTTGTTGCATCTCGTGCTACATCCCAACCTTTCTGTACAGTTTGTATAATAGGTTGTGCTTTCTCTTTCAGTATACCTAATGTACTCAAAATCTTCCTTCCAATTCCAAATGCACCTCTGGCTATTGTTCCCACTGCGGGTAAAAATCTAGATGCACTCCTGCTAATGCGCCAAATAAACCCATTTCTTATAGGTAAAAAATGACGAATCCGAACAAGGACCCCTATGTTTCTAAAGCGACAAAGAAAGCACTCATGATAAAAATCTTTAGTTCAACACCAAATGCTTGGTTTATGGATATCTTGGAAAACATTCCGAGGTATAGAGAAGATGGACCACCATACTGGTTAATATTTGTTGGTCAAAACACAAGATACTGTGAAGCCATACCATTACAGTCCAAAGCTATTTTAGATATCTTAGCAGCTTTGACAATATTCGTTGACAAATACCATCCAACAAAACTGACATCTGACTGTGAAAGTTCTTTCAAATCAGATGATGTAAAAAACTATCTGCGTTCAAAAAATGTAAACCAATATTTCATTGTCGACCAAAACCATTCTGCTCTTGGTGTCATTGACGGTGTATAAAAATGTTAAGAGACTTAAACCAACCACAAGGTGGTGAAGCAAATGAAATGTCATATGACGACAAGTATAGACACTTCTCCATGGCAAAGATGAGACAAGTTTTAAATATTTACAATAACCGTAAACAAAAAGGTTTGGGAAACCACTCCCCCGAAGAAATGAAAAACAACCCTGACTTAGAGAAAGACTATATATTTAATAATTTAGTCAAAAGAGACAAACAAGAAAGAATGCCGGGCTTCAAACTTCAGAAAGGTGACAAAGTAAAAATAGAAATACCTAAACGCGACCCATATGAAAATACTATTGACTATGACAACAATGGGAACTCGACAGGTACTCACATTCGTGTTCGTAAAAATAGAAGAAAGTATACAAGAGAATATTATGAAGTTTTAGGCAAACATGGCAAAATGTACAGACTGCAAGCAGAAGATAAAACTACTATTGTCAGACCTCGTTTCAAACTTGTCAAAGTTCAAGGTGGTATACTTTCAAAGACAGTTCCTAACAAATATAAGACAACTCCTGACGAATATGCTAAAGAAGTTGAAAATGACGACTAAGCAATTCTATACCATGCGTAAACTGTCATGTAAGGTGGCATGTATTCTTTACTTTGTCCCGTTGTTTGCGTATATCCTGAAACGAAATGTGTATGGTTTCCTTCTCCCTGCGTGTCATCCCAGTAACAATTTATAGCAAACTTAACGTCGTCTTTAACATCATATCCTTTACCTTTTGTCATTCCTGACCAATCCCAATATCTATGCTTATGCCAACCTGCTTGAGATGTACTTAAATCTATGTAATGACTGTGTGCAGGTAAATTTTCACCTGAAATCGTTTTACTTCCACCTGTTTCCTTTGAAGAGTTTGCACAATACAAAAACCTGTCGACTATTTGTTCCCATGCACCAACACCAAACATTACTTGAGGACCTCTTGCATCCATAGATGTATAAATAAACCTACTGGGTTCATTAAATCAAACATATGAGATATTATAAGAGATTGTCTCTTTTGAACTTAAAATATAGTGCAACTATTTCAGGTTTCTTCTGGTTTGTGTCAGAATATTTTTTATAATATAATCTTATGTTTTCAGGGTAGGTAAAATCTTGACTATAATATTTATTTCTGTCATCTGTATAATAATATACTATTCTCGTTTTTTCTATTGCATTATATCTTTTATATCTATAATAATCTAAATATAATGTTAGCTTTTGTTCATCTACATGTGGTGTTCTGTCGTCATCTCCATAGTCATAATAATGTGGTGCCGGAGCTGGGTCAGGCAATGTCATATCCACCATTTCATAAACTCTTAAATATTTCTTTTGTTCGTCTCCATATAAGTTTAAGTAGCAGTTGTTGTCTAATGGAACTTTAACTTGTGTACCATCATTCTTTTTATAGCTTACATACATTTCATTGTTATTTTTCGGAATGAGTTTACACCGTGTACCATTTTTAAGGACTGTACAACTGCCATCTAAAATATTTATTTTCTTCATTGACAGAAAAGTCACCAACAATAGTTTCAATATTTTTTGTTCCTATCAAACTTTGGTATATTTCATTGACATATGTTTTATCTGCTTTATTTTCAAGGCTAACGTTTAAGTCTGTTATTTCAGAAGATGTATGTGTATGTCCAACGTCACTTTTCCTGTTTAAGGTTTCTTGTAAGTTTGTAATATTTGCAATGGTATGTGTATGTCCAACGTCACTTTTCCTGTTTAAGGTTTCTTGTAAGTTTGTAATATTTGCAATGGTATGTGTATGTCCAACGTCACTTTTCCTGTTTAAGGTTTCTTGTAAGTTTGTAATATTTGCAATGGTATGTGTATGTCCAACATCACTTTTCCTGTTTAAGGTTTCTTGTAAGTTTGTAATATTTGCAATGGTATGTGTATGTCCAACGTCACTTTTCCTGTTTAAGGTTTCTTGTAAGTTTGTAATATTTGCAATGGTATGTGTATGTCCAACGTCACTTTTCCTGTTTAAGGTTTCTTGTAAGTTTGTAATATTTGCAATGGTATGTGTATGTCCAACGTCACTTTTCCTGTTTAAGGTTTCTTGTAAGTTTGTAATATTTGCAATGGTATGTGTATGTCCAACGTCACTTTTCCTGTTTAAGGTTTCTTGTAAGTTTGTAATATTTGCAATGGTATGTGTATGTCCAACGTCACTTTTCCTGTTTAAGGTTTCTTGTAAGTTTGTAATATTTGCAATGGTATGTGTATGTCCAACGTCACTTTTCCTGTTTAAGGTTTCTTGTAAGTTTGTAATATTTGCAATGGTATGTGTATGTCCAACGTCACTTTTCCTGTTTAAGGTTTCTTGTAAGTTTGTAATATTTGCAATGGTATGTGTATGTCCAACGTCACTTTTCCTGTTTAAGGTTTCTTGTAAGTTTGTAATATTTGCAATGGTATGTGTATGTCCAACGTCACTTTTCCTGTTTAAGGTTTCTTGTAAGTTTGTAATATCAGATATAGAATGTGTATGAGTCTTATCTGCTTTTGTCTCTAATGTTTCCTTAAGACTTGGTATTTGGTTAATATAATGTATATGAGTCTTTTTAGAATATTCGTTTTCAGCTCTTGTCACTTCACTTGACATTTTATTGTCAACATATGTTTTGTCTGCTAGTTCAGGATGAGTATGTTCTTTTGTTGCATAAGCATTGTTAGCTCTTTCTTCTTCTTTTGCTATTGCATCGTCTACATATTCTTTGTCAGCTTTGTTGTCAACATCTGCTTTCAAAAGAAGTTCATTTATAGGTTTCTCGTTTAAAGTTCCTTTTGTTGGATTTATACAGACAGTATTGTTCTTATTGTCTTGAAATAGAAACTCATCTGTCATTGGGTTTATTGTCAGTTTTAAGTTTCCTTCTTTCAATGACTCAGATATCTTAGAATAGTTTGAAAAGTTTGTTGTGTTCTTATTTAGAGCTTGCATAATGAGTTGTCGGTTGTGTTGTATTTCTCTCATAGACGCTGTTTCATTTGACATTTTTATTATAGATAAAATATGCTTCCAATAGAAAAAGAAAATTCTAGAGTTGCTACAACTAAACCATTAGATGAACTTTTTACTAATGTCGGTCAAAAGTTTGAGATAGATACCGTAAAGCATGAAGGCTATCGTTTTGACTACCCATTAAGATGGTTAAGAGACCCATCTGTCACAAAAGCTATTGGCTTTCGTAGAATGAAGTTCATTTCAGAAGCCATACATGGTTTCCCATTTATTGTAAGGTTTCATATAGATTATACATCTGAAGGGCAACGAAAAATGTGGGAAGAAATTGAGCTAATACAAGTTGACCTCTCATCTTCTCTACAGACTGCATTAAAAAATATAGAAGATAAAATAAATTCATGTTATGCAAAATATGCTGATGAATATGCGAATACCGATAGCACACTTTATGTGAGAATTGTATATGACAAACAAAATTCACAAGTGTCATTTCAAATCTACGAAGACAATCCAAATAAAGACGAACAAATATATACAGAATTCACTGCAATGTCATGGTATTATTTGCAAAGAATGTTAAATCAGAAAGTTGAACCTCCTTTAGCAAATATCTACAGTCGATATGCAAGAGATGAACCATATTTATTTAAAGATGTTTTCGACCAAGATGCTATTATTGTTCATGCTTCATTTTCTGGCGCCCAAAACTCTTTTTATGCTTGGCAAATGACTTTTACGAAAAACATACAAAGTTATACGAACCACCAAGTGGAAGTATTTCAGACTTTCAAGTATGGTTTACTACAGATGGAAGAAAAAGAATAATTCCATTATACCATGCGTTTTACTTAGAACTTAGTTTCATATACAACTACTATCGAACGATAAAAATATAACTTTTTAATATACCGGTTGTGGTTGCCAACTTGACTGTGGTGCAGGTTCAGGCTGTTGTATTACAGGAGCTTGTTCTTCTGGTTCAGGGTCTTTAGGTATAATACCAACAAACTGACCTACTCTTTTACCAATATTTTTGACACTGTTCCATACTCCTCTTCCGACAGATTTTATTCCATTCCATATACCTCTTCCAACATTTCGAAAGAAGTTTCCTATCTTACTGAAGAAACCCATTTTACTATATGTAAAAATCTAATGTCCGCCTAGTCTCTTACGTTTCCTGTTGAGTTCCATAGCATTCTTTAACTGGAGCTCATACATTCTGTTTCTCCTCTGGTAGAAAACATATTCTGGGTCAACTCCTGTGTTCGCGTCATCTGCATAAAGTTGTTTATATCCCACTTCAGGGTTTGTATAAAACTCTTTCCATCTCATATTTGCATACCATGGTGGCAAACCTAACGCAGCGTCATTTGACATGGCAGTTTGCATTTGTACATCTGTTGGCACTTGACCATAGTTTGCCATTGCAGTTTGTATTCTAACTTCATTTGGAATATTCTCTGGGTTTGGTTGTCCAGGTTGCTGTGCATTCGCTAAGTTCTGTGCGTCCATTTAATATTAGATAAAAATATCTCTTACGAGTACATATGCTGAACATTTGCAGGCATTGGTTCATCTTCATATTCTCTGTACTTTTCTGCCACGTCAAATAAATAAATGACACAATGGAAAAAACCTAAAACAAGTAGTCCTATTTCAAACCACATTTACTTACTAATAAAATTTCTTTATTGTGACACTTTCTCCGGTTTATAGGACCTCTCTCATATTCTATCTTGTCATATATAAACTCATAGTCATGTATGTCCTCTAACCATCTCATAACGGTTTCCAAACCACTTTTATCGGATGTAAAGTAAAAGCATGGATGGTTATGTATAACGTCTAAAGTTTCTAAAGAGTCTCTCAAAGTCCAGTCTACTTGGTATTGAAAATCCCATGTGTTATAGAACGGCGGGTCCACTATAAAGAAAACATTTTCCTTGTCTTTATATTTTTCATACAACTCTGTCCAATGACATCTCACAAACTCTATACCCTCAATATATTTTTCTATGTCCTCTTTGAAAACATTTGTATAGTTAAGATATAAAACTTTTGACATAAGTGTTTCAATGTCATGAACTCTTATAGCACCACTATATAATAGTCTAGCAGATATACTATCCCAGTCTATATATTCTGCTTTTTTCAAAACCTCTCTCACAATATTTTTCTTATCTAATGGTATACGTTCCATCTTACCTATAGGTATCTTTTCTTTTAACTCTTTCAATATATTATTTGTGTCTGGAATATGTTTGAGACGGTCCATATAGTTGTCGAAGTCATTGCATATAATCTTTGAGTCAGGAAATACGGTATGACATAAATGGGATATATAGAAACTTCCGCCGAACAAATCTACAAATGTTAGACCATTCGGTAGTTTCTTAAGTTCTCTCAATATAATATCTTTACATCTACTCTTATTTCCAAAGAACGGTAACAGCGGTTTTGTAAAATTCATTTATATATAATAATAAAACTGTTTTTACCCGAAAAGTGATAGAAAAGTGACAAAACATGAAAACATATATAATTTGTGAAAAGTGACACAAAAGTGACATTTTAAAAAGTGACACCATTAATATGATGTAAATAACAACGGTTTTGGTTTTGTCACCGGCTGGTCGGCTGGGGTTCGGTCCTCCTCTTGGGTCTTGGGCAAAATTTCTTATGGGCTAGAGGGCGCAACGCGCCTGGAAGCCCCACTTACCTGACCTGAGTTCTATTGTTAAATAGCTAAAATATCACAAACTGATTAAAGCACTAAACTTTCAATGATTTTAAGGGTGCGCCCGGGAGGATCATGTAAACTTTAGAATTAAGAACCTTAATTTTTAAGCAATAACTTGGTACCTAAATAGGTAGGAAAACTCTAAAAATATCAAAAAATACAACTTGGCTCCATAATAATTCTGTCATGGTGGCTGTTTGTATCCCCTAGTATTTTCCTCTTGAATCTCTTTTTCTGTCGAAATTAAATTCAAATCTCAGAAGTAGAAGTGAATAATCGACTTATTACTGCTATTATACGAATAAATAAATTCATTATATTATTTTTATTTACATAATATCTGTTTGAAGTCCATAATTCTATAAATTTTTCTTCAAAAACATTACAATCTTGATAGTTTTGGTACTGTTTAATAGGTTTTTGGCACCTTATTTAGTATTTACTACGTATAGAGTCGATCTGAACTTAATTTTCGGAAATTTAAAATATTTATTATAAGTAAAATCTGATTTGAAATTTATGTTTAACTACTCATATCTTGCATTATCCTGAGTAGCTTTTGTAAAAATTCATCAAAAAAGATTTTAACGTGCTTTAATTTTTATTTTTTAAAATAATGCATATTATTATATAACTAGCATATTTACAAATTTTAGTGCTTTCAAAAATTTCATTCTCCCCCTCTCAAATAAACGTACATCCGGGTGGCCTGTTTTTTGCAAAAAATAAAATTTCATTTTTTATGCTTAAAAAGTCAGAATTTTTATTTTCTTCTGGGATATATGATGGCTATATCAGATGCCCATTCTTTTTGATACTCAACATTAAACATAAAACTTAGCCGTTAGGGCTCTTCTGAAAATATTTTTTTTTCGAAAAATTTTCGAAAAAAATCAAAAAATTTAAAAATCCCCGAATCTGCAGGGATTTTAAAAAATTCTTTTTAGTAAAACTTAAGGATATTGTATCAGATATATTGGTATGGGCAAATTCAATTTTAATCCAATATTCATCGAGATATTAAGTTAACGAAGCTTTCAAAATTGAGAGGGTAATCCTCCTCCTCTCAAATAAACGTACATGCGGGTGCACCCTTAAAAATCTTTGATATTGAAATAAAGTAAATCAAATGCATATAACATTTCAGCAGAGTGATCTTGTAACAGTAGATCTTGCTCGAAATATCTTGTAAATCTAAGATCCTTTGATAAACATCAATTATCTTGCAAAATTCATAATTTCGCTACGAGAAATAGGTAAATTTTATTGTCACAAATAAATAGATAAGTCTGAAAGCATGAAATATAATTTACGATGAAGGAATTGATCGTAAACTAATATTTGTTGTTGCGGAATGCACAAACGAATAAGGAATATATACAAATTGAATATTACGGAATATATCCCTCATAAAAACATATCGTTTTTGATATGATTAAGAAATTTTGAACATAAAACGAGTTTCGCTCTGAAACTTGATAAATTAGACGCAAATTAGTGATCTGAAACTATTAATAAAAGCATAAAACACAGGAAAAAAAATCTTAAATAAAAATACGCAATCTGTTCACTTTAAAAAGGTAAGTTATGTTACTAGATAGTAGCGAAGCAGAGAAGTTGTCCACTTTAATTGATTTAGTAACCGTAGAAGCGCTTAGAAACGTGATCGTTGTAAGCGACGGAGCCTACGTAAGCTGGATCGTATTCGATACCACCAGCCTTGTTGCCGACGACAAAGTGCATTGATGTTCTGGCATTCTGGCATTGGAGAATTTCCTTCTCATTGCCAGCAGCACCTGCACCACGGCCACCATAACGGTATGTTCTGGCACCTGTGAGTGGCTTGATGGCTTCCCAGCTGAGAATGTAGCAATCGCTTCTCATCCAGCCATTAGCAATGGCTCTGTTGTAGTTAGCGTTGCATCCGTCGATGCTGTTGACGCCACCGAGCCAGCAGAGTGACATGAAACCGCAGCCCCATCGTCTGATGTTGGCATTGAATCTTGGATCGCCTTGGCGGATAACTTGACCGGATGGTCCTGGAGCTGGGCCTGGAGCTGGTCCGGAAACTAAGTTGATGTAGTCTGCGCAAACCCAACCCTGGTCAATCTTGAACCAGTTGCTGGAAATTCCCTTGATCTTGATGCCGGCGCCATTGCCGAGGCCACCAACACGACCGTAGTTTGTGCCTGGACCAGCACGGATGTTGACACCGATGTTAGAATTGACTTGA